CACACGACAGTATGGATTTTGAACCAACATGTCAAACTTATAGACTTGTAAAATTCTTTAGTCAGTTTTCATATCATTTGACTAACTTACAATAATATTCTCAACAGCTGAATTTGAACAAATTTGCTAAATTCGAACAAATAATCGACCGATCATCAATGGCGGAACGTGTACTAACCCGTGTTCACAGCCTCCGGGAGCGTCTGGATGCCACTCTGGCAGCTCATCGCAATGAGATTTTACTCTTCTTATCAAGGTAACATTTTTATTTTTATTTTTGCTTTTAATATATCATTTTGTTAAAATGGTTTCACATTTTTTCTTAAAGTTTAAATTTTGTGTGTAATACTTGAAATATTATTGACTTGTAACAGGATTGAAGCCCATGGAAAGGGAATCCTGAAGCCTCACCAGCTTCTTGCTGAGTTTGAAGCTATTTGCCAGGCTGACAAGGATAAACTGCAGGATCATGCCTTTCAAGAGCTTCTCAAGAGCACTCAGGTAAATTAATTAATTAAAAATAAATAAATCAAAGGAAATTTATTCAACGTTTTTTTTTCTGGGTATTTTTTTTAATTAATTAATTGTTGTCGTTATTAATAATTAATTGTATCATCAGGAAGCAATAGTTTTGTCACCATGGGTAGCGCTTGCAATTCGCCTTCGTCCAGGTGTATGGGAATATGTTAGAGTCAATGTTAATGCTCTTGCTGTCGAAGAACTTACAGTGCCCGAATATCTGCAGTTTAAGGAAGAACTCGTAAACGGAACGTAAGTCTACGAATTTTCATTTGTTTTACATTCTACGTTGGCCTAGATTTTCGATAATAAATTTTTATTAACAACTTTTTTGTTTGTTTGTTGGCAGTGCTAATGGGAACTTTGTTCTCGAGCTCGATTTCGAACCATTCACGGCTTCTTTCCCAAAACCGACCCTCACTAAATCCATCGGAAATGGCGTCGAGTTTCTTAATCGCCATTTGTCCGCCAAAATGTTCCATAACAAAGAAAGCATGGCCCCTCTTCTCGATTTCCTTCGCACACATCACTACAAGGGCAAGGTCATAATTTTTTTATAGAACTAAATTCAATGTTAATTAGGAGAAAAATGTGTTTTTTTTATTATAATGTGTGCTTTTGCATTGAAATGTTGTGTGTTGTGATGCTTTAGACGATGATGTTGAACGATAGAATACGAAACCTTAACTCACTGCAAAGCGTCCTTAGAAAAGCAGAGGAGTACCTCTCGACTCTCTCTCCCGAGACGCTTTACTCGGATTTCGAGCATAAGTTTCAGGAGATTGGGCTTGAGAGAGGGTGGGGTGATAATGCGCGACGGGTGTACGAGATGATCTCCATGCTCCTCGACCTTCTAGAAGCTCCCGACTCTTGCACCCTCGAGAAATTCCTCGGGAGAATACCTATGGTCTTTAATGTCGTTATTCTTTCGCCTCACGGTTATTTCGCCCAAGAAAATGTCTTGGGATATCCCGATACAGGTGGCCAAGTATGTATATCATTGTACATCGAAATTTTTAATTTTGTTTTTTTTTTTTACCCCTCAATTGGAAATTTGATTGATGTTTTCTCATTTGTTTTGTTTTTTAAGGTTGTCTACATTTTGGATCAAGTTCCTGCATTAGAGCGCGAGATGTTGAAACGTATCAAGGAGCAAGGACTTGATATCACGCCTCGCATTCTAATTGTTAGTCTTAAATAATGTGAGGTTTTTTAGTAGTGTTTATAATGATTTTTAATTGATCTTGTTGTTTGTTGTTTATTTATAGGTGACTCGACTGCTTCCGGATGCAGTTGGAACCACTTGCGGCCAAAGGCTGGAGAAAGTATTCGGAACCGAGCATTCGCATATCATACGCGTTCCATTCAGGACAGAGAAGGGAATTGTTCGAAAATGGATCTCGCGTTTTGAGGTTTGGCCGTATATGGAGACTTTCACCGAGGTAAAAATGAAAAAAGAAAAAAAAAATGACTAGATTTTGCTAGTTTTGTTTGCATAGTATGGCCAACATCAACTGTCTTGTCTTGGTTTGATTTCATAGGATGTTATCAAGGAAATTAGTGCAGAGTTGCAAGGGAAGCCAGATTTGATAATTGGAAACTACAGTGAGGGTAATCTTGCAGCCTCATTGATGGCTCACAAGTTAGGAGTAACACAGGTTTTTTTTTTTTCACAATATTATGGGGTGTTTTTTTTTTTTTTTTTTTTTTTTATTTATGTTGCTGTTTTAACTTTTAAGGGAGTTGTTTGTAATTATTGACTTATATTGGTGGTGATTTGTGAGTATCATTTCTTCTTTCTTGACAGTGTACCATTGCCCATGCACTTGAGAAAACAAAGTACCCAGATTCCGACATCTACCTTAAAAAGTTTGACGACAAGTACCACTTCTCATGCCAGTTCACCGCTGACCTGTACGCGATGAACCACACTGACTTCATCATAACCAGCACATTCCAAGAGATTGCTGGAAGGTTTAAACCGAATAAAAAAGCATCACGATTAATCTCTTTCTTTCTTTATTTTTTTTCTTCGTCAGTTAATTAATTATCATTTTAATTTTGTGATAATAATATCAGCAAGGACACTGTGGGGCAGTATGAGAGCCACATGGCATTCACGATGCCCGGTTTATACCGTGTCGTGCACGGAATTGACGTTTTTGACCCGAAATTCAACATAGTTTCTCCTGGAGCAGATATGAATCTCTACTTTTCGTACACGGAAAAGGATAAGAGACTAACTGCTCTCCACCCTGAAATCGAGGAGCTTCTCTTTAGCGACGTTGAAAACGAGGAGCATCTGTAAGTCTTCATCAATATGGATTGATTGCAAAAATGTTATATCTCTTATGTTTAATCTAATTCTTGACAAAGCTTGAGAAGATCCTTCCTGTTTCTGCAATTCTGCAATTTTAGCTATAATAAATATTTTAAGGAGCCACCTTAAAATTTGGAGTATGTGCAAAAAGTCTTTAAGTCCAAATCACCAAATTGGAAAGAACTTCCCTAGTTTGATTCATAAATTTGCTTTAGCAGATGCTAAGGGATTGTTTTGTGAATTTTCTGTAATTACTCCAAACTTGAGAAGCATTTCTGTGTATTCGATTGGGATTTCTAAGTACTTTTTAAGACTTTAGAAATCCTGGTGTATTCAATTTAGATTTGTTAAGACTTTTAAAAGTCTTTGGTTATTCAATTATTACAAAATTCCGAGTTATTTAACTTCTTTGACACTATGATTTGTTAAGACTCTTTAAGATTTGGTTGAGATTTCTAAACAATAAACCTTATACGAAATCTCACTTCAAATCCCACCTCAACACTTACGATTTCACAGAATTCCTCTAAAATTTGAAAATCTTAAGAAATCTCAAAATGTCACTTAAAATCTCAATTGAACACACCCCACCCTCCTTGAGTTATCTTTTCCACACAAGCCCAAAACTCTATGTGATGCAAACAAATTCCTCCATCTATTCTCATAGGTGTGTGCTCAAGGACAAGAAGAAGCCCATTCTATTCACCATGGCCCGTCTCGACCGAGTCAAGAACCTAACGGGCCTAGTCGAGCTCTACGCCAAAAGCCCGAAACTTCGAGAACTCGCCAACCTCGTCGTGGTCGGTGGGGACCGCCGCAAGGAGTCGAAGGACATCGAAGAACAAGCCGAGATGAAGAAAATGTACGACCTTATCGACACCTATAACCTAAACGGGCAGTTCAGGTGGATCTCGTCGCAAATGAACCGTGTTAGAAATGGCGAGCTGTACCGTTATATTGCGGATACAAAGGGGGCTTTCGTGCAGCCTGCTTTTTACGAGGCCTTTGGGCTGACTGTGGTCGAGGCCATGACGTGTGGGCTGCCCACTTTTGCTACTATTCATGGTGGGCCTGCTGAGATCATCGTGCATGGGATATCGGGCTTTCATATTGACCCGTATAATGGGGAACAGGTGGCCCAGACTCTTGTTGACTTCTTTGAGAGGTGTAAGAAGGATTCAGGTCATTGGGAGAGGATCTCGGCTGGCGGGTTGAAACGTATTCAAGAAAAGTATGATTTTTTATTCGAACATATTTGATGAATGAAATTTTGAGTTTTGAGTTTATGAGCTTATTTTTTTATTCTTTTTTGTGTGTAGGTATACATGGCAAATTTATTCGGACAGACTATTGACGTTGGCCGGTGTTTATGGGTTTTGGAAATATGTTTCGAAGCTCGATCGTCTGGAGATAAGGCGGTACCTCGAGATGTTTTACGCCCTCAAGTATCGCAAGTTGGTGAGTTTATTTTTTGTTTCTTGAGGTGGATTTGAGTGAAATGAAAGTTGTTGGTTGCATTAGAAATTTTTGGCTAAATTTTTATGGTTTATGTATGTTGTGTTGTTCAGGCTGATGCTGTTCCACGGGCAGAGGAGTAAAGTATTGGACTATGGAGCTTATGAAGATGGCTAAATAAAAGAGTTCATTTTTGGGCATTTTTTTCTCTTCTTTGTTTCTGTTGCTCTTGTTCTAACTTTTTAAATTGTTGCTTCTTCACTTGAATGTCTACTGGGCTGTGGGCCTGTGACCCTGAAAATCCTATTTTTCGTTTGGCTTTTCATGCCATCAATAAATATATATAATATATTTCAGTGTTGTTATGTTGTACAGTTGTTTTTCTACCGCTTTTCGACTTCCCGATCGTAAAATTATCATGCACAATATTTCTATATACAATAATCAATTTACTTTGGTTGAATTTTTGTTTGTGCGTGTGTTTAGTGGAAATTATGTGTGTAGAAAAAAAAAAAAAAAACGAAAATTTAAAATGGTCTTCGAAACTAGCTTCCTTGAAAACCACTGGTTGGAGTCCACCGTTTTGAGTTTTTTGTGGAAAGTGGGTCTTTCGGTCTGCAAAATTAGGGTCTTCCACATCTGCATGTGTAATACGTAAATTTACCACTTTCTCCATGCTGCATCAACAAATATCGAGTCACAATTCAGAAAATCGACCCACTCAAAAGCAAGTTTCATTCATATACTCTGAATCTGAACTTATCATCTTTATAATCGTGTCAAATGTAAAAATAGAGCTTTTTAACAAAAAAGCTCTGTGTAGGCTAGTGCCGCCTACAGCTTAATGCTTTAAGTAAAATTTCTATACATAAATCCTTTCTTTTTGCATATTTACAAATCACTCCCTGCTCAAAATTTGCTGCTTACAGAATTCTAAAATACCCGAGCTGCATCATCCTGAGAGCTGCAAGAACTTGCGATAACAGTGTCTCAAGTATTTCTTCTCCTCATCATTCTCTATCTACTATATTGGCAAAATGTACAAATTTTCCCCTAAAATTTTGAAATAAAAAAAAAAAAAATGTTGAATGTTTGCAGCTGTCATAACATGTGAACTGCCTCTATTCAGATCCATTCACTCGTTGATACAAAATTCGACAGGAGCATGCAATCAAATGTAGATTGTGCACAAGCTAAAGGAGAAGACTTTTAATCAATCCCTAATGACTCTGGTTGCCTTTTTCTTAAAAACTGGGTGACAAGGATAAAAAATAACTGCCAAAGCCAAAGAAAAGGCAAGACCAACCACTCCACCAAATGGTTGAAAAGGGTGGCTTCCAGTGACCCATAGAGGAAAATTGGATTGATAGGACAGAAAGTTGCCCCTTTTTAAGATGAAATTTGAAGTCAATATCCCTGTTCGTAGTCCAATTGGCAGTGAAAGACTTCCCGAGCTTCTTTGCCGAGCCCCAGATAAACATAGAGATAGTAACCATAGTCCTGGGATCTCCCACATTGACCTAAACATCAATAAGCAATTAATGATGTAAGAAAGATAATGGATGCACAAATTCGGAAGCTCAGGGGAAAAATTGAGTGGGTGTGTATGAGAGAGCTGTTCTCATGTCTTCCTTTGTTTTCTTATCTCTTTATGCTTATTGATTTACTTATAAGGAAATAAAACTTATAATTCACAAAATATAATGAAGTTACAAACAATGAATTAAGTGGATCGGTCATATAGTCCATAGGAAGACAAAATACAATCATCAAAATACTAAGGTTAAACTTTATTTACAAAATAAGAAAGTTACAATAAGAGAGTAGGGTAATATAGGATATGCTTTCAGTTGAATTTTTTCCCCTAGGGAAAAAAGATTTGGTGGACAGTTGATTATTTTTAGAAGTGAATTGATGTAAGATGAAAAAATAGTATAATAATAATTGTTGGTTAGAAATATGTGAGTGGATGAATAGAAAATTTGACGAGGAAATGTTTGTAATAGTGTATTTTTTGTCTAGGGGATGAGATGAAACGCCCATTCCGCTACATCCAATCGAAAACAAGGTTGCGATTGAATATGAAATTTTTCATTTTTGTTTGCCCAATCAAGATTTACCTCACTGAAACTATAAAGATACCAAAACATTTCAGTAAAAAGAATTATTCATTTCATATCACTTTTTCCCTAGACAATAAAAAAAAATACAAAGTAATTATTATTATTTATTTATTTAATAAAACAATTCTTCATCCACTAACAAATTTGTAACTATCAATCTTATCTGTCAATATTTATTATCTTTATATCACATCAAGGTTAATCATTACATTTTTATCTCACATCCATTCACAATCTCAAATTTATCACTTTATCTAAAACCAAAATTTTTGTACTTTTTCATCTCACTTTTTCAAATGAAACAATAATTTTCGGAGAAATATTAAATCCAATTGCACCCAAGGCTCTCTCACTTTGTTTGCACGTTCGTGTATGTGTTTTGGTGCCCTAGTGGGTTCTTTCCTTACTAGGGGCCCACAGTTGGGAAGCAAGTAGAGCATTATGTGTGTGTGTGTGTGTGTTTTTTGTATTTATTTATTTCTTTTAACATGCATATTCTCAACAGTATTGAATCCATAAAATAAATAAATAAATAAATAAATAGAAGTGAAAATTGCTAGACCCATCACGAGAATAAGGTACCTTTGAGATAAAGCAAACAAAAGTCCTGAGATAATAATTCCGGGATGATATCCATAGTCGGCAGCAATTTCCTGAGGCAACCATGATCTGAAGAGCAATTCCTCCACGACTGAAACACCAGTTGCCGTTGTAACTCCTTGAACAATTAACATAAGCATCTGCCCATAGGATTTAATCAGTGCTACAGGTTCTGAAGGTGATGAAGACAGAGAAGTTGGCCAAGATAGATAGGCACATCCAATTGCGGAATTCATGGCATGTATTAATACAACAAGTGTGACTCCTCCAATCAGGCCCTTCAGAAAGTTCTGGAACTGAAAGCATGACCATCACCATTAACGATAAGTCAGGTCACCAATGCAGCGAATAAGATTACCTATTAGATTGTGGTCTCCAAATGACAGCTAAAGGCAAAGAATCAAAACTATTGAAGTTATTTTAAGAATCTCATGGACTAGAATATATTATTTTTATTAAAGAAGACAGAGGAAATAAAGATGTGGTGGATGCGACAATATTTTATAGAGTTGAGGATTGTGACAAAATGATCTGAATGGAATTGCTTAATTTTCATGTGTGGTCTCACAAAATTTGCTGGCAACATACAATTTCAATTCTGTATATATATGGGGCACATGAGAAATTGGTCATACAAATTATACTTTTCCCCTCCACTCCAATAAAACTCATGCATTTGAGTATTTTTGCTAGATGTGGCAAAAAGATAAGGATTCCCATGCCTTAGTATAACATTTCAACAAAATATTATACTTTTGATGAAAACAGGGCTTGGTTTCTGAGTTCTTTTAATTGCAAAATCTTTTTTCCTTCTTTTTTTCTCTGGAAACATGATTTTCACAAATCAATTTTGCCTCCCAAATCATAATTACGTTAAAATTTGAACAACTATCCAGTGCAACAAACACAACTGAAAGGCTTATGGTCCTGCATGCAGTCTCTAGTCAAATTCATACCTTATGAACCGAAGCTAGATCCAGTCCATACTGCAGTAGAGGATCATCATACTGGCGAATCCTTTTGCCCCACAGTGTCACCATTATCATAACAGACACATAAAGACCAGCAATGCAAGCAAACTCAGCAATTTGAAAAGGTTTATGTGTCGTCCAGCTTTGCATGAGGGTCGGAAGAAATGGAAGAACAACAGGCGACCATAGAAGCAGCACCAAGAAGACAAAGCCGACGATTCTGTATTTATAGGATGAGAATGTTAATTACTTAATAAGCGAACTAGCTTCTGTGATGAATATGCATTTGATGTAAAGAGAAAACAAATGATGTCGTAGAACAATAAAACCCAATATCATCTTACCAAGATTACTACACGTAACACGTTACTTGGTTAATGAAGACCTATAAATTACAGAAATCCTTCTCAGAGCTTGCACATGCATGATACAATATATTTTCAACTTCTGGCATATGGCTTTAGGCTCATTGGGGAGGTGGGGATGTGCAATTAAGAAAAACTACTATTTTATCTGCCAAAAAAATTATGTCACATCATATCATAGTTAAAAATTTCACAACTGTATGGATATAACATAGTTTTGGATGGCCAACAATGAAATGATGAACCCAACTAATCATTTAAATTACCGTACAGAAGGATTTTTTTTAAAACAGAGTTCATTCCAGAAAACATGCAATTATTTTGCTGGTTATATATGAGGTATGAAAATTTCCTTTCATGATATAATCATTATTTGTGAATTATAATGTTCAGTCACCATCAAAAGATCATAGAGATCATCTGTACGAATGTTTTGAGAACATAAATATACCATTTTGGCATCTTCTAACATTAACTCTATAGACAATCAAACTGCCATAAAGTTAAAATAATTCACACGTGAACACAAATACAAAACATTCTATGCTGTCCCATTTTTCTTTCGAACAACACTGATTCATATACGCTGTCAGGACATATCATACAAGAAATTTAAATAAATCAGTTTACCTTTGAAACAAGGGGCGTTCAGCAATGCGCAGGAATGAGATGAGTTTGTCAGTTAAACTCATAGCACCACGTACGCCACCCCAAAGTAAAGCTACTTTGCCAACAAGTTTCAATATCCCCCCCTTCTGTCCCAGTTCTGTGAGCATTGCTACCAATCTATGACAAGAAGCCAAACATTTAAAACCTTCTCAATAAAATCACTTTTAAAGGGGAAAAACATAAGAAGATATCTAAATAAATGAAAAGATCTTCCCAACCTTTCATGATCCACTTCTCCATCTTCTTTCATAGGCACCACAGGACTAGCAACAGACATTGCTTTCTCTGCCAGGCTTGTGACTATGTTGTTCTGGGTTGTCTCATGCATTTCATTTAGCTTTGAGGGCCTGTTGCTGTTCCCTTTCTCTTTCAGGGGCTCGTTTGAAGTTTCGCCTGTTCCATTATTCTACAATCAAATTGTTTGATTAATATAGGATGCTTGTTGCTTACAATGAGCACACACAAGCATAGTGTATAATTTATCACGTGGTATCGATAGCATAATCCATCAGTATCTTTAAATATATAGACAGACCGTCATATTAATAGCATGTCAGAAATCTTGCAGGAAAATAATCGTTTTAGCATTTTAGAAAATAGGGCTAAAAGCAGAATCAGTACCCCAAGTAGTGGGTAATTTCAATGTCAATACCCCACATTTTAGCTCTCACAGTTCAGTACCCTAACAGTGAAACAACTCGCATTTTGCATA